CCAATCTGGGTGCTTTTTCATTCTTTTTCCTGTCTGATTACAGTGGTCAGAACTTCTGGTAACAGTGTTATATAGAAGTGGTGAGAGTGGACCTCTTGTTTTGTTTCTTATCTTAGGAAGAAAGCTTTCAGTATGAAGTTAATTGTAGTGTTTTTTTTTTTTTTTTTTAATAGGTGCCCTTTATCAGCTTGAAGAAGTTACTTCTATTCCTGGTTTGCTGAGTTTTAAAATCAGGAATCGATGTTGGATTTTGTCAAATGCCTTTTCTACATTCTCTCATATTGAGATGATCATATGGTTTTTCATTTTTAATACATTAACATGGTGAATTACTTTAAGTTTACCATGCTTTTGATTTCTCTTTTAATTTCTTATTTATCCATGGGTTATTTAGAAGTGTGTTATTTAGTTTCAGAATATTTGGGGGATTTTTCTCAGAGACCTTTCTGTTATTAATTTCTAATTTAATTCTCCTGTGTTCAGATAGCATTCTTTTAAATTAACCAGAACTTGTTCTGTGGCTCAGAATATAGTCTGTCTTCGTGAATGCTCTGTGTATACTTGAGAAGAAGGTGTTTTGTGTTGGTGTTGGAGTGTTCTATAAATGTCGATCAATCACCTTGGTTGACAGAGTTGTTTAAGTCTACTATATACTTGCTGATTTGCTATGCACTTGTTCTATCAGTTATGGAGAGAGGGGTATTAAAATCTGACTGTAATTGTGAACTTGTCTATTTCCTCTTACAGTTCTATCACTTATTGCTTCCTGTATTTTTAAGCTCTGTATTGGAGGCATACATGTTTGGGATGATTATCTTTCTTGATTAATTGACCCTTTTATCATTTGAAATGACCTCCTTTATAATCTTTCGATATTAGCTTTTATTTTTTATTTTTTTAGTGAAAGGGTCTCACTGTGTTACCCAGGCCTCTGGGTAGAGTGTGCAGAGTGCAGTGGTGCAATCACAGCTTACAGCAGCCTCAAACTCCTGTGCTCAAGCAATCCTTCTGCCTCAGTCTCCCAAGCAGCTGGGACTACAGGTGTGCATCACCATGCCTGGCTAATTTTAAATTATTTTGTAGAGATTGAGTCTTGCTATGTTGCCCAGGCTGGTCTCAAATTCCTGGCCTTAGGCAAGCCTTAGACTCTTAAAGAGCTGAGATTGTAGGAGTGAGTCATTGTACCTGGCCTCACTCCAGCTTTCTTTTGACTAGCATTAGTTTGGTATATATTTTTTCTATCCTTTTGTTTTTATATTTAAAGTGCATTTCTTGTAGGCAGCATATAGCTTGTTTAGTCTTTTTATCCAATCTGACAACCTCTACTTTTAATTAAGGTGTTTAAACTATTTACATTTAATGTGATAATTGATAGGATTGGGTTTAAGTCTGTTGTCTTGCTATTTGTTTTATAATTTTCCCATCTGTTCTTCGTTCCCTTTTAATTTTGATCCTGCCTCCTTTTGGATTAATTGAATATTGTTTATCAATGTAATCCCATTTATCAATTATCTTCTAATGATATTTAGATAAAATTTTTATGTGTTTGCCCATGTAATTACTATTTCCAGTGCTCTTCATTCCTTTGTGGAGATCTTGGTTTTTATCTGGTATCATTTTCCTTCTTCCTGAAGGACTTCCTTTAACAGTTCTTTCAGTTCAGATCTGCTGGTGACAAATTCCTTCTGAAAAATCTTTATTTTCTTTGAAAATTTTTCATTTAAAAGTTCATATTTACTTAACCATCCAACAAAATATTGGGTGCCAATCATGTGCCAGGTACTATCCTAGGCATTTGAATATAACACTGTCCAAAATAGGGGAAAAAAAAATCTGTCTTCATGGAGCTTAAATTCTGCTCAGGGAAGACTGGTAACAAGTAAATATAAAGTAACAAAAGTGGTAAGAGCTATGGATAAAAATAAAGCTGGAGAAGGGAAAAGTAGTAGTGTGGTTTAGGCGACATGGGTTTTCAGTAGGATGGTTAGGAAAAGTCTTACCTGAAAAGATAATATTTAAGCCAAGATTTGAAGATGAAGGAGTGAGTCATGTGGATATCTAAGAGTAGAGAATTTCAGATAGAACAGCAATTGTAAAAGCCCTGAGGTTTATAATAATCAGTGTGCCTAGTGGGTTGAAGGAACAGGAAGGAGGCCAGTGTGGCTGATCAAAGTGCACAGCGGGTGGATGCTAGAGGACAAGAGCAGAGAGGCAGTGGAGGCCTAGACCATGGAGTGCGTTGCAGGAGCTTCTGAATGAGACAGAGCTATTGCAGGGCTGTAAGCTGGAAGTGACATGATCCGACTTATTTTTTAAAGGATCACTCTGGCAATTGTATTGAGAATAAATTCTGTGCTGGAGAAGGGAAGCAAGAACAGAAATGGAAAAGCCAGTTAGGAGATTATTATAATAATCCAACTGGAGAGAATGATGATAATTTTGACAAGATATGTAAGTGGTAGTTGAATTATGGCTGTTTTGAAGACAAACATGAAGGATTTGCCGATGGATTGGATATAGGTGTGAGAAAAGAAGAGGAGCCAAGAATTATTCCATGGTTTAGCCAAGGAAATGGAAGGATAGAATTATTTTTTTCGGTGTTGCATATTGAAACCTGAAAAAGAAACAGGTTATTTTCTGAGGTGAAAAAATTGTGGAGTCAAATATCTATTAACAGCCTAGCACAGGGTAGGTACTTGTAATGAGAAGGTTAGGAGTTCAAGTTAGGGACTGTTAATTTTGAGATAACTATTAGACCTTTACATAGAGACGTTGATTAAGTGATTAAATGTAACATTTTGGGAGGCAAGAGAGTAGTCTAAACTGGGGCTCTCCTGGAAGTTGTTGGCCATATCTTAAAAAAAATTATAAAATAATTTGGGAAGAATCGAAATCTTTGACTGTTTCTATCCAACATTAGACATAGGTAAGAATGTTCATAACAGTATTATTTGTAGTGAACCTAAACTGGAAAAAGGACCCATCAGCAAATAAAAAAGAAAAAGAAATGATGGTATCATCATGTAATATATTCAAGAATAATGAAAGCGAATGAACATGCAATGACATTGATGAAGCCAAATGTAAAATCATTCTTTATGATTCCACTGATATAATGAAAACTAAACTATAGTATTAGAAGTCAGGATGGAGAATTTTTTAAGGGAGGAAGAAGCAGATAGTGATTGGAAGACAGCAAGCACTAGAGGACCTTCTGGAAATCTGCTAATGTTCAAGTTATTCACCTGGGTGGTGATGTGTTTGCTTTGTCATCATTCATTGAGCTGTGCATTTATATTTTGGATGCTTTTAAATATATACGTTACATTTCTTAAAACATTAAATTATCGTGTTAACATATTGCCTTCCAAAGAATTTGTTGACCAGACTCTAGTTGTAAAAGCTGTACTTGACTCCTAGCTATGCTTCTGGTTCGCAGTAGTCATGAAACACACAGGATAATTCATTCAAACTGTGATGGGAAGAGTGTTGTGCCATTGACCAAATTCCAAACATTGGGAAAGAGGGAGAAATACAACCACTGAAGGAATTAGTGCAGGGCTTATCGTATTTGCTTTGACATCCAAAATGTTACTCTCTTTTTAAGTTTGGAGTTTGAAATGATTAGAGAAAACACAGTAGGAAATCTTGAATTTAAATATAGCGCCAAAACTCCAAACCCCACATGTGGAACTATAAGAGCATTATTTCTCAGTAGAATGTAGTAACCATATAAAACCTTATTTGGAACTTTGAGTGTTAAGATGAGTCTGTAATTTATCTTGTCATTTGTATAAGGATGTTTACAGTGTTTATTAAGAATATGGAAGCCACCTATATAGTATAGTCACTTAAGACCCAAATCCCACTCTACATCAGTTATGTCCTCCCTGACATTTTGATTTAATTGCTTTGGTTCCTCACTACATCTCAACAGGTTGGAATTACAGATCAAATCTAACAAGCTAAAATATAATGGGGCTAATCTAAGGTGTTATGTTTAGGTTCAAGATGAATAAAGGGAAGTATGATTTACCAACATAGGCAATAAAGTTTCAGGAGGTTATACTGATTTAAGGTCAAACTGTTCAGTGGTACTACCCCTCAAAAGGTTAATGTGATTATAGGCAACACTATTGCAAGTAATAGGAGATAATTAGACTATACCAAGAGGATTACAGTAAGTTTATGGCACCATATTTTAAGAGTGACACTGACAAACTAGAGCTCATCCAAAGGAAAGCACCAGGTGTTAAGGGATTATAAAAAATGGATGGCCAGGTGCGGTGCCTTACACTTGTAATCCCAGCACTTCAGGAGGCCAAGGCAGGCGGATCACTTGAGGTCAGGAGTTTGAGAGCAGCCTGACCAATATGGTGTAACCCCGTCTCTACTAAAAATACAAAATTTAGCTGGGCATGGTGGTGCATGCCTGTAATCCAAGCTACTCAGGAGGCTGAGGCAGAAAAAAATAGCTTGAACCCACGAGGCAAAGGTTGCTGTGAGCCGAGATTGCACCATTGCACTCCAGCCTGGGCAACAAGAGCGAAACTCTGTCTCAAAAAAAAAAAAAAAAAAATGGATTAGGTGGCTGAAGAAATTGGGACTATGAAATGTTACAGCAACTCTTTAATGCACTATCTCCATTTTACAGAAAGAATACTGAGGCTTCAGAGAATGAATGATTTATTAAAATGTAACTAAAAAGTGGTTGACTCAGGACCCACATCTCATGATTCTTAATCTGATATTCTTTCTGTTTCAAAATATTGGCTTTTAAATTTATTTTTTTTAAGTCTGGCTGTTAGCCTATATATGGGCGAAATTTGAAGCTGTAAGGAAAGGGTTATAGTTTAAATACATGGAAAAGGAAAGAGAATGCTCAGGGTAGAAAGATCTACCTTGGTATGAGAAAATACCTTGGTATCACTATTATACGTTTATCAGTTGTTATAGAAATGTATTATCTTTTACATATTTTTCTCTTTCTCGTTTTCAAGGTTTTTGATTCCAATGAAGAATCTGGGCATCTTGTTCTCACCATAGTTATATCAGGTCATTTCTTCATTTTCCAAGGACAGACACTACTGGTAGGTTTTATGCTTAATAGTTTAATATGGAAATATATGTTTGTCTTCTTAGCTTTACATGAATTTTTGTATTCTCAAGGTTCTTTAGTCTCACTGAAATTCATCAAGGTCAACACATTAAACGTTTATCAAATGTGCAATAACAGTGGAAAATATAGAAACATACTGAATATTGCTGGCACTTAAGGGGTTTAGGATTTTGTTGGGAGTCAGAGTGGATCAAAAGATTGAAATTAACTAGTATGATAAAGAATTCTGTAGTTAAGGGAGACTGAATTAAGATAGGCTAGGTTAACAGAGACAAGCGTGGGGAGTTTTCCAGATAGGGAAAACAGTATATACAGAGGGATAGATGTGCAGAAATAACTAAAGAAAACAAAAAGATAGTATTATTGACTGATAGTCTTCCATAAAACTCTAATTTTATAAATATGCATGTGTTCTTTATTCTGAATACATATACATTTTAGGAAATTTTGGAATGAAGAAATATGTAAAGAAAATAAGAATCAACTTGCTTGAAAGTTAGGTTTTATTTGGTACATAGAAACCAAATGAACAAAGAAACAAAACAATTAGTAACTTCCAATCAAATTGTTACAAGAAAGGAACATATAATGGAAGGTTATTATATCATTTAGCTGTGAATGGTATCTACATTGACCTAAATTCGTACAACATATATTTACTGAATATCTGCATGGGCATAATTAATAAATATTGAATAATTAGCATATGCTAGGCATTTTAGGGGATGCTAGGGATATAGCAGTGAACAGTGAAGACAAAAATCCCTTTCATTATGGGATATGATTCTAGTAGGGAAAAACAGCAATAAACAAATAGGTCATACATTTAAAAAATATTACTTTTTGTTGGATCTCTTACATATTCTATCATAATATGGTAGGATCTCACATGTGTATATCGTGATGATTCATCTTTCCACTTAAATGAAATATAACCTTCTCATTGAATGTGGGATGACCTGCAAAGTCATCTTTGTGTTCCTGATGACTTTTAAAACTGCAGCATGAGTTGTGTTAATTTGCTTTATCTGCTACTGTCAGGGTCTGCATCAGTTGCAAGAGATAAGGTTTCTTCAGCTGCTAATGAGTACTGCAAATGGTAGACTTGAAGGATACCTAGTGCACAGCTAGTTCTCCCTGTCAAAATCAGGGGTCTTTGCTGAATGGTGACGTTAATGCATTTTGGCTTCCTCAGGCACAGGAGACCACCTCATACTTTGTCTCCGCTCCATCTTTTTGCCCCAGTGGTAACTATTGTGAACAAATGGATAGAAATTTCTTTGTATCATACATAGAAGGATTTTTGCACTGTAGTCACAAAACCCAGTTTATCAAATTCCAAGATACCCACTACTGAGAAATGTAAGGGTAACTGCAATTTGGTGCATGTTGCCTCACAGCTTATTAGTCAAGAAAGGACCACAGATATGATAGTGATCCCATTAGATTATAAGGGGGCTAAAAAATTCCTGTGACCTGTGACATCTTAATGATACTGGCCCTATGTATGCATAGACTAATGCGCATGTTTGTGTCTTAGTTTTTAACAAAAAGTTTTAGAAGTACGACAACTTAAAAAATGTAAAAATAGAAAAAAAATTATTGTATATGTTTTAAGTTACAGCTAGTACTCGACTTACGACCACGATTGGTTCTGACAGACCGGTCGTAACACGATTTGGTCGTAAGTTGAGTAGGCTATATGCACGCGGAGATGGTAGTGCTGCCAGAAGCTGGTCTGCACTGTCGTACGCCCAGCTGGGCAACGTTTGCCCTGCCAGACGCGAAGCAGTCATGGCTAGCGTTTGTGGCCGTAAAGTCGAATTGTCGTAAGTTGCATAGGCCGTAAGTCGATCAATACCTGTATTATAAAACAGTCCAAATGTTTTGTAAAAATTTAAAAAGTTTATAATGTGAAAATGTTGTAGTAAGCTAAGGTTAATTTGTGATTAAAGAAAGATAAATTTTAAAATAAATTTATTGAAGCCTGAGTGTACAGTGTTTATAAAGTCTGTAGTAGTGTACAGTAATGTCCTAGGCCACCATATTCACTCACCATTCACTCACTGACTTACCCAGGGCAGTTTTTACCTTGCAGGCTCCATTCATGGTAAGTGCCCTATACAGGTATAATTTTTACTTTACCTTTTCTATGCTTAGATATGCTTAGACATACAAACACCTAGCATAGTGTTAGCGTTGCAGTTGCCTACAGTGTTCAGTACCGTAACATGCTGTACAGGTTTGTAACCTAGGAGCAATGGGGTATCCCACATGGCCTAGGTGTATAGTAGGCTGTCCCACTGAGGTTTGTGTAAGTGCACTGTATGATAGTCACATAATGACAAGATCACCTCATGACACATTTCTTAGAACGTATCCCCATTGTTAAGTGACACACGACTATACATATATAACTTAAATATTGTAATATTTTTAAAAAATCTTTTTAAAAATTATTTTTTAAAAATCACTCTTATTGATGTATGATTTACATAAAATTCTCTGACTTTTAAGTGTTCAATTTGATGTGTTCTGATAAATGTATCCATCACCACAATCATAATGCAGAACATTTCGATTAAACCAGTTTCCTTGTGCATCTTTGCAGTCAGCCTCCTCTGCCTACCCTCAGCATCTAGCCGTCATTGATCTGCTGTCACTCTAGTTTTGCCTTTTATTTTTTACAATTTTTATTTATATATTTTTAATTGACAGATAAAATTGTATATATTTACTGTGTACACCATTATTTTGAAGTATATATACATTGTAGAATGACTAAATCTAGCTAATTAACATATACATTACCTCACTGTAGTTTTGCCTTTTCTAGAATTCATGTAATGGAATCATATGATCTGCAGTCTTTTGAGTCAGGCGTCTTCCATTTAGCATAATTTAAAATTCATCCGCGTTGTTCCATGTTATCGGTAGTTGATTACTTTTCATTACTGAACAATATTCATTGCATAGGTAAGCCTATTTTGCTTATTCAACTTTTGATAGACTTTGGGGTTGCTTTTATTTTTTTAGCTGTTGTGAATAACACTGCTGAATATTTGTATATGAGCCTTTATATGGGCATGTTTTCGTTTTTCATTGTTAAATGCCCAAGAGAGGAACTGCTGAGCCATATGGCGTGTCCGTGTTTAACTTTATAGGAAGCTGCAAAACTATTTTCCAAAGCTGCATTCTCATAAGCAATGTATGAGGGTTCCACATGTTCCACATCCTCACAAGGCTTGGTATTGTCAGTCTTTTCAATTTTAACTATTCTAATAAGCGTATAGTGTTATCTATGGTGGTTTTAATTTGCATTTCCTTAATGACTAATACTGTTGAGCATCTTTTCATGTATTTATTTGCCATATGTATGTCTCATTGGTGAAGTGTCTGTTCATGCCTTGAGTTGTTTGCCTTCTTATATTTGAATTAAGAATTCCTACTCTGGTTACAGCTCTTTTATTAGAAACATGTTCTTTGAATATTTCTCCCAGATTATGACTTATCTTTTCATTTCTTAGTGTCTTTTGAAGAGCAGATGTTAAAAATTTTGAAGTTCAATATTTTTTTCTCTTATGGTTCATCCCTTTTGTATACCACTTAGGAAATTTTTACCTATGCCAAGATTGCAAAGTTTTTTTTTTTTTGAGTCAGGATCTTGCTCTGTTGCCTGGGCTAGAATACAGTGGTATGAACACAGCTCACTGCAGCCTTGACCTTCCAGGCTCAAGTGGTCCTCCCATCTCAGCCTCCTGAGTAGCTGGGACCATAGGCATACACCACCATTCCTAGCTAATTTGTTTTATTTTTCTAGAGACAGGATCTCACTGTGTTGCCTAGGCTGTTCTCAAACTCCTTGACTCGGTGATCCTCTCACCTCGGCTTCTCAGTGTTGGGATTATAGGCAAAAGCCACTGTGCCTGGCTGCAAAGGCTTTTTCAAATGTTTTCTTCTAGATGTTTTATGGTTTCAGTTCTTATATTTAGGCCTGTAATTCATTATGAAATTTTTTAGTATTTAATGTTAATATTTTTATTTTTATTTTTATTATTTCATACAGTGTTCCATCTTTCCCACAGTAAAAGCAGTGTGGTATTGATGAAAATTACTATATTAGGCCGGGCGCGGTGGCTCAAGCCTGTAATCCCAGCACTGTGGGAGGCCGAGGCGGGTGGATCACGAGGTCAAGAGATCGAGACCATCCTGGTCAACATGGTGAAACCCCGTCTCTACTAAAAATACAAAACATTAGCTGGGCATGGTGGTGCGTGCCTGTAATCCCAGCTACTCAGGAGGCTGAGGCAGGAGAATTGCCTGAACCCAGGAGGCGGAGGTTGCGGTGAGCCGAGATCGCGCCATTGCACTCCAGCCTGGGTAACAAGAGCGAAACTCCGTCTCAAAAAAAAAAAAAAAAAATTACTATATTATGGAATATGACCATGGATCTTAGGCAATTTACTTTTGGAACCATTGAATTAATTTTTAATATATGGCGAAAGTTAAGAATTTGGGTTTATTTTTTGCATTTGGTTATCAACTATTTTAGTACCATTTATTGAAAAGACTAGCTTTAATTCCCTCATTGAATTACCTTGGTATCATTGTTGAAAATTAATTTGCTAAGTATCTGTTAGTCTGTTTCTGGACTCTCTTTTCTGTTCCGTTGATCTATATGTCTATCCATATTCCAATAACACACTGTCTTTACTTCTGCTTTGCTGTAATTTTTGAAATCAGGTAGTTTAATTCTTCCAACTGTGTTCTTTTTCAAAATTGTTTTGACTATTATAAGTCATTTGCATTTCCATATAAATTTTAGAATGATGTTTCCTACAAAAAAGCTTGCTTGGATTTTGTTGGGACTGATTTGAATTTATAAATCAATTTGAAGAGAATTGACTTCTGACTTTTCCCGTCTTCTAAACAGTGAGCATATTTTAAACTCTCCATTTATTAATATTTTCT